GTTCGGAGGAAGTTGGAACACCTATTTGCCCTTGGCTGAGTTTTCTTACAACAACAGCCAACATTCCAATATTGGTATGCTTCCTTTCGAGCTCTTATATGGGAGGAGGTGTTAGACTCCCATTTGTTGGGGAGAGGTAGGGCAGCGAGTGATGGGCAGCACTAAGATAGTGCTGAAAATGACCGAGTAGATTCAGCAGGTCAGACAGAGGTTACTGACAGCCTAGAGTTTCCAGGAGAGTTATGCAGATCGGCGACGATCCGAGCTAGGGTTCCATTTTGTAGATTTTTTCCTCCTGAAGGTATCCCCATGAAAATGGGTGTTAAACAGAGCAAGATGTGCCCCCGATACATTGGCCCTTTCAGAGTGATCGCAAGAGTGGGTAAGGTAGCTTACTGGCTGAAGCTACCTGCAGAGTTGATTTAGATTCATAACACCTTCCATGTGTCTTAGTTGAGGAAGTGTGTAGCCGATGAGACATCGGTGATACCATTAGAGGGCATTCAGGTGGATGCGAGCTTGAATTATATTGAGAGGTTGATAGTGATCTTGGATCAGAAGTGAAGGCTCTAAGGAACAAACAGGTGCCCCTGGTTCAGGTTCATTGGCAACATCGGAAGGGGTCCAAGTGGACTTCGGAGCCGGAGTCCGAGATGCGCGAGCAGTATCCAGAGTTATTTCTCGACCAGACTTCGAGTGCGAAGTCCAATTCTAGTGGGGAGAATTGTAACGTTCCGACTCCCAGGTATTACATTTATTTATTTATTTATTTTTGGGATTTAAAGAGTGACTCGACGAGTTATGTTTTTGACTAGTCGAGTAGAGTTGGATTAGTCACGTGGGTTTAGTGACCGACTCGACGAGTCAGAGAGCCGACTCACTGAGTTGGCGATGTGTGAGGAAACCTAAAATCCCCGGGTTTGTGACCTATTTAAGGGGCCTTAAGCCCTCATTTCTGCCTCACCAGCCACCTTACATCCTTGAGAGAAATCCTAATCGTCCACTTGAGCTAAAGAGTGAGAGAGAAGCTAATCTTGTAATTTTTAGTGCACTTTTAAAGGAGAAGAGGAGATCATCAAAGCTTAGATCAAGAGGAGGCTTTGGATCTAGAGGTTCATCAGGGTTTTGCTTCAGTTAGAGGTAAAAAGATGCTAACTTGAACATTTCCTTATGAGATCTTGGTTTAGGGAGTTTCTAGGGATTTCCCCCATCCTTTTTGTGTCATTCGAGCCCTTTGAGCATGATTTGAGTTTGAAACCTCAGATCTTGATTGTAGGAGGTCTTGTGAGTCCAAAGACCCAAAATTTATTGAGCTAAAGATAAGGTCTTGTGCATCTAACCCTTGTTGGAGCTTGAATTGGCATTATGCAGCAAATATGTCATGCATGAAAGTAAAGATCGAAGCTTTACGTGACATTCGAGCCTTAGGAGACTAGATCTAGAGTTTGTAGTGGTGGATATGACTTAAAACGTCTGAATGAGAATATAGACTGAATGGACTCGCCGAGTCAATAAGCTGACTCGACGAGTCGGCTAGGGTTTTCCTTGATGAGTCTGGACATGGGTAACTCGGTGAGTTGACGAGACAACTCGACGAGTTAAGTTGAGTTTTCGCGATATTATAAAGGAACAAGGGGGATTCGGTGAGTCACATAGAGCACTTGGCGAGTCATGTCAACATGGACAATTGACTCGAGTGTTGACTTCTGTTGACTTTAGGGTTTGGTCAAGGCAGTAATTATGGGGACCATGGATCCAAGAGTTTGAGAGAGAGAATAACTTGGTTTATTTACAGTCATAATTTAAATATTAATTAGAGCTAATTATCTTATGTGATTAGGCGAAGTCTAGTTCAAGATTCGTGTACGAGATTATTTACTTTCTTGCTTACGAGCTGAGTTTTCTCACTATACTTTACCTAGAGTGGTAATCTTGGTGTGACTAGAGGGTCTTATGTGTTATATTGAGTATTGTGATATCCTGCATTATGTTTTTGTGATTTTTATGTTGTGTATTATTCTAAGCTTACCGAGTTGTGATCGGAGGGTCCACCTAAGTTGTGGGACTGGAGGGTTCCATTGGGACACATTGACCAGAGGGTCTTATACGAGCATAGCCATAAGAGGCTAATGAGATATGTGTGGTATTTTGGGGAACTCAATAAACTTCGTGCTTACTGTGTTATGTATTATGTGTTTCAGGTACTTCTCAGGATCACGGGAAGACACTGTCTTGATTGTACACACCGCTATGAGACTATGTGGATGATTCTAGGATAGTGACATTATTATTGTGGATTTGTGTTGAACCTTCAAACACTTATGTTTTTGAGAAATATATTATGAGTTTTTACATGTTTTAAAAATGAAAATTTTGTTTGAAAATTTTACGGTGTTACATTTTTTTCGTTTGTGCTTGCTCTCGAATCCTACTTTCTCTTTCATCAACATGTTGTTGAGCACGATTCGCTTTGCCGCACCTTGTCGGTCGTCGTGGCGGGAATATCTCTTTAATGTCATCCGGGAGCTCATCGGTGTCGGCGTTGAGGTCGGTTTTCTTTCGTGCGTCGAAATCGTCAATCGAACCCGAACTACGAGACATCTTTGATCGTACTCCGATGATGTTGGTGTCTTAAGCCATTTTGGGTCATTTCTCAAAATCTCCCAAATTTTTTCGTAAAAAAACATGACCCGTTTCGACATGATATTGCTCCCTCACGAATCTAAATACATCGAAGTCGTTCATACCACTTTGCTGGTGGGAAGAAAGTTTGTTATAGGTCGAATTAAACTTGGAGCACTACTTATTAAGTGTAGTTCACTTGCTACTAAGCATATCCAGATTGCGGTATGCCTCTCATTTGTTCAAAATTATGCGGAATTTTACAATTGCGGCTTCCCAAAATCCACATCTACTCATATCGTTTACCATAGTTGGATGTTTTGATGTCTTGCACCACGCCACCATCAACGTGTGCTCCTCATCCGGTGTCCACCATAGTGGGTGGTGGTTGTGTGGTTGTTTGTGGAATGGAAACAAAGGTGTTGAAAATGTTTTGTTGAAGGTTTAGATTTGTTTGTGGAATGAAAAAGTTACCGGAAAATGGTAGTTGTGGTGAGCTTTGCATGTTGAGGAAGTTCACTTAGTCCTCGTGTTGCAGGAAACTGAACGGAATGGATGTGTTTGTGTTTAGAAGATGAGTGTTCGGGTTTTGATCCATTGTTGGTTGAATGTGAATTTGGTTGAATTGTGTGCAAAAAATGAAGTGAATAAAATGAGAGAAATAAAAGTATTGTGTAGTTAAAAAATAAAGTCAATATGTGTATTTATATGTGAGTAAAATTGAACTTATTTTATTTATTTATTTATTTATTTTTACGATCGTTCCTTTATGACCGTTTGCAAGTTTTCTTCATGTTGCCACGATAACGCTTCATGCCATAACAACTAATATCGAATGTCGGGGGAGGTGTTCAAGCCGTTATACCGACATTTTTTAGGTGTCGACTCGGAAGAACGAGACTTTTGTTGCCTATACCATAGAGTCTAAGTAGAAGTACAAACTAATCATTGAATTAGTGATGTAGAATTAAAAACTAATCTCAAAATTACATGGTCTTACATAATGTTCATACATACCATATAAATGGGTCTCCGTATATTTTTTATATTCTCAAGATTCAAATCTTGAAAGAAACTCTTCTTCTGAAAAGGCTTTTTATATTAAATTCGGAATATTTTATATGTACATTTTAAAAACATACAAACAATTATTATGATAATTCCATCGATTCCACATCTAACTCAATTAAATCCTTTAATGTTTATATTTCTTATCAAATATTTTACATTTTTAACTATGAACAAAAATAAAAACATATAAGAACCTGAAAAATATCATGAGAGCCATTGCCAAAACCAATATCTTTAGATAGTAATAAATGTATTATAGTTAGAAGATCTTGCCAACATCTTTCATTAGTCCCCGATTAGCATTATAAAAATCGGTAAACTCTTCTTTAGAAATGAATCCATCTCCATCAGTGTCAAGTTCATCCATCATAGTTTTGACCTCTTCGGCTGACACAGATCCAAGCGTCTTCAAAGATTCTCCAAGCTCGGCTGAAGAGATTTTGCCATCTCCATTGGCATCAAACTTACCGAAGATCCGCTCGCACTCTGCCTTGTCTTCATCAGCCATTATCGTTTTCAAATAATGATAACAGGTAATGTCAGTTTTGGCTTACGTTTTCTTTATTTATTTTGCAATAGTTTTGCTTTGGGTTTGAATGATTAACCATGAAAATGTTTATAAAATGGTTGTTGATGAAAAAAGTATTATGGATGCCCTTTGAATACGGATTACCGTATGTTTCTAAGGTAGAAAAAAATTAAACCTCTCATCTTTACTAATTAAGAGAATAAGAATGGGCCAAAAAATAAACTGAAAATATAACCCTTAGTAGCTAAAGAAGGGACTAAATAAACTATCAATAGCAGCCAATTAAAAAGAAGATAGACCTTTATTGTCGTAATTGCATTTTTGTTCTAATAAGACATTTTTAAAGTCATGCTTTGATTGGATGTGTTGTTTTGTGCATGCACCAAAGATATTGGAATATAAACTTTCCCGTACCATATCTAACACAAGAAAGCTGATGCAGACTTGAACTAATTTCTTTAATAAATTTCATATGCTAAATCACACATAGTCTATATGTAATTTAGCATATGAAATCTATTAAAGAAATTAGTTCAACCTTTCTTGTGTTAGGTATATTATGATTTATCTTTGCAATAGCTATAAAATCAGTTGGTAAAAACTACTAGAGATAACTATACCCTCCCTATGGATATTAACTAAACTAATCATAATTTAATATAAAGGCAAAAGAAATAATCTATTTTATTTTCAAAATAACCAACAAGACAACTTTTATTGACAAAAAAAACTTCTTCTAATAATAATATATTTATGAATGACATTCCGGATTGTAGATCGAAATTTTGGAGTTTGGAGAAAAAAACACTGAAATTTCAAGAATAGATCCGAAATCTGATTAATAATTTCGTAATTTTGAAAAAAAAAACATGGTTTGATTGAGAAATGATAATATCATACACTTTGAAGTTGACATTTCAAACATAATTATATAGATTTATTTCAAAACTTTTGTGCAAATAAAAAAAATAACACAAGAATTCCGAAACAAGTCCAGAATAAAACACTTGGAAGAAAATAGTTATTTCTCAATAATTAAAAAAGATGATTACTTTGTTAAATTTTTTAAAAAAGAGGTTAGTTTAACAGATAACCCTTTAATATTTTTTTTAATAAAATCACTTATGTAATACAGTTATTGGTAGATATTATCCATGTTAGCCCATGATTGAAGCAAAATTGTTGATGAGTTAAATTCTATAAAGAAGGTCCATGGTTCATACATTGGGCACACCGAAAACATTGTTGGTGTTGTAAGATTTACCTTCAATGTAGGCCTTGGAACGAATTGACATCAACCACTCAGAAGATTCAGTTTACCATTTTTTTTTATTATTACAGGAAAACAATGCTAATGGTCTTATCACACAATAAAAAAGGAATAGTTAACTTAACGAGGGATATTTACGCCCAATAACCATATGAAAATACTTGAAACATATATTTTTAAAAGTTGAAAAATAACCATGATATTTAAAAATACATTTTCGAAATAAAATCTTATGCCTATACATATTTTTCTTTCATTTTGAAATGAAACGGATATGTTTAAGCATATTAGTTTGAAAGGAAAACATATTTAATTGAATGAACTAGTAATTGAGCCCGCGCTTTGTAGCGGATTTTTATGTGTTTTTGTTGCGTATTAGAATTGGAAAACGAACGGTAATCTAACATCTGGTTTTGAAGTACTTCCATTATTAAAACTTGTATTGTGATGCATTAGGTTTTTAATCCCTAAGTTCAAAAGTATGAAAAAAGGGCCTTAATGACGTTTTGGTAAATTAAGGCTTCGGAGTCCACCATGCCTACGTTGTGTACGCTGAGTGTACTAGGGTACGTGGTGGGCGTCAAGACCATCAAATAAAAATAACCTAAATACGACGACATACAAAAATGAATTGTAGTAGCGGTAATAGGATCGAATCAACAGTGATTAGTTCAAATCAAATCTATGCATTCAACTCTATGAAATAAAAATTTACAATGATAGGAGGGTTTTCAAAATGTTTAATGCAATAAAAACTAATTTACAAAAATAAAAAAAAATGGAAAAACACAAAATCTATAAAATAAAATGTTCCAATATCGGGATAAATTGCAAGTTCAACTATTTGACTAATCATTATAATTTTGCGATGCAATGCGTTAAATGGATACTAATTTGACTATAGCAATCTAAGAAATTTGAGATCACCTAGACTTTTCTTAGTTAATACAATGGTTAGAAAAACTCATAACACATTTTCATAGTTAAAGTCATAATTTTCATGAAGCGTTTAATGAAAATTAACTAATATTATGATTTAAAAGCCACAAAATCCAAAAGAGTCAAAATGTTTTCACTACCATGTTGGATAAAATACTTTAATGATTGTGTGAAAGGAAAGCAATCACAAGAACCATTTGTCGCTTATTAATTTGAGGATTTATTACTTAATCAAGAAATTAACCAAGTAATTAAACATTCACATATCTAAGTTCATGATTAAAGACATATGATCATAAATAGATGTTTTACTAGAAAATATTTTCATAAAATACTATCAAAACCACACAAAAATATTCCTAATCAATTAATTGTTCCATAGATTCATCCAATATTAAAAATAAAAACTAACTACGCATAATAATAATAACAATAAAACCGATAAAAATTATACCAATACCGATTACGAAACGAATATGTCAAAGCTTCTTGAAATCGTCACTTCTTGTTACTCCAATAACTCCATCCATAATCAAAGTATAAATAGAAAAATTAACCTAATATAATTTAAAGAAAATAACTAATTACAACACAATAAAATCATGATATAAATATCAATTTATAATATTTTTGATTTCCAAAAATAAAAAACAAAGCAAAGGATGAGACACCAAAAACGCCGTCACTCCACCTGTCACTCCACCTGCTTGCTGTCGACAAATATAATGCTTCCTTTTTTATTGCTGCTTGACTTGCTTTTCTCCAACTACAAACAAAAGCTTATTGGGCTAATGGATAATTCATGTGGGCTGCTAGTAAATCAGAAATTTGGGTTTGTAAAATTGCTCTATTGGATTGCCATAAAATACTAAGGGAAAATGACTTATTAAGGTAACTAACTATTTCAATTGTTCATATATAGGTAATGTTCTTTTTTTTGTACATATTAAGGTAACTAACTTGTTTTGTTTGTTCACATTTAGGTAATATGACCGGCTATCACCTGTTTTTGCTTATGTGGCATCCACCTGGCATTACGTGGCATGGTGCATATATGGGAAAATGACTTATTAAGGTAACTAACTATTTCAATTGTCCATATATAGGTAATGTTCTTTTTTTTATACACATTAAGGTAACTAACTTGTTTTGTTTGTTCACATTTAGGTAATATGACCGACTATCACATGTTTTTGCTTATGTGACATCCACCTGGCATATGACTTGAATACGTTACACCTACGTGGCATCCATCTGACATATGACTTGTTTTGTTTCTTCTTCCTCATCTTATTCTTCAAAACAACAAGATGAATTTCAAGCTGATCATCCATGTGATTGCGGTTTACCATCTCGTGTGAAGATTTCAAGAACTCCTGACAACCATTGAAGAAAATTTAGAGTTCGTTAAAACTCGATGGTAAATCAATATTGTTGAATATGTTGCAGGAGTTCTTGAAATCTTCACACGAGATGGTAAACCGCAATCGATAATCAGCTTGAAATTCATCTTGTCATTTTGAAGAATAAGATGAGGAAGAAGAAGCCATCATCGATCGATCTAGGGTTTAGAATTAGGGGTGGAATCGTATGACACAGTTATAGTGTAATCGAATGAAGACAAAATATGCACCATGCCACGTAGGTGTAACGTATTCAAGTCATATGCCAGGTGGATGTCACATAAGCAAAAACATGTGATAGTCGGTCATATTACCTAAATGTGAACAAACAAAACAAGTTAGTTACCTTAATGTGTATAAAAAAAAAAGAACATTACCTATATATGGACAATTTAAATAGTTAGTTACCTTAATAAGTCATTTTCCCATATATGCACCATGCCACGTAATGCCAGGTGGATGCCACATAAGCAAAAACAGGTGATAGCCGGTCATATTACCTAAATGTGAACAAACAAAACAAGTTAGTTACCTTAATGTGTACAAAAAAAAGAACATTACCTATATATGGACAATTGAAATAGTTAGTTACCTTAATAAGTCATTTTCCCAAATACTAACGTGGCTGCATATTGGAGTTCTTGTAATGCGCTGCCAAAACTAAAGTTGCCAGCAATTTGTCCAAGACTAAAAATCATATAAAAACTTGTTCAAATCTGCTCATTTTTTGTGAGGTCAAAGATTGATGAGTTGGGAAGATGTCCGTAAAATTTCAGCTCAATCAGACCTCCTTGCCCCTACGCCTGACCACTTGAAGAAAGCCGCACAAAGCTATCAAAATCCGAAAAAATAATTTATATCGCTTGGTTTTTCTTTTCGCTTCCGGATTTTTCTACGAGACTTCAATCGTGGTTGCAAGACAATCAATGTGGCTTTAACAATGCTTCAAAATACCATCTTGCTCAAACAAATTTGCACATAAATATCTTAATGAGTAAAAATATTCAAAATAATAAATCTAACAATTTAATGCAAAAAGAACATTAAAAATACTAAAAGTAAAAGAAAACGATTTCTAAAATATATACAAGTAATCAAGCTATCGAAATCCTCCAAGCTCAAGCTTTCTTGTCCTCAAGGAAAACAATATAGAAAAGTCAATATGACAATAAAGACTAATAAAAATTCTTTTTCTTTTTTCAAATACTTTATAAAAAAAAAACTTGACCAAGGTTATGTAAGTTGCAATTAGGACACCGGTTTAATAATCATGCAAAAAAAAAAAAAAAAAAAAAAAAAAAAAAAATCCAACTTACACCCAAATTTTGAAACAAAAACGGAAATTAGAAATTTCAACAAATATAAAC